TAATTTTATTTCATGTATATGAGCATAATACCTACATGTAGGTAGGTGCCCCCATGCCTGCGGAGGTCAGAAGTGGGCATTGAATTCCCTGGAACTGGAGTTAATGGTTGTTAACCTCCATGTGGGTGCTGGGACTTGAACCCAGGTCCTCTGCAAGATCAGTCAGTGCTTTTAACCATTGAGCCTTCTATTTTTAAGAAACTCAGTTGCACCTTTCAGGATATGGATTGAGGTATACTATCTCAGCTTTTTGGTCTGTATTGATGTGCACCTTTAAAGGTTTTACCAGGTGGAAAATTTTTGTGTGTAGTGATTGAACATACCATCTTTTCTTGGTAGCTGTTATAGAAAAGTGATCCCCATACTTGTACATGTTACGCACATGTGTTAGTTTCTGTTTCATTTGGTAGTATGTTTTTTATTGGCTTTTAAAATTGATTGCATGTACTTTTTAAGTGCACAATGATTTATTTTTTGTTTTTTGGTCTGTTTGAGACAGGGTCTCCCTGTAGCCTCAGCTGGCCTGGAACTCACTATGTAGACCAGGTTGGCCTTGAACTCACCAGAGATCTGCCTGCCTCTGCCTCCCTTCCAGGTGCTGGGATTAAAAATATGTGCCACCAGCCTGGGCAATTTGTAATTTGTTTTTCTTAAAAGTTGATTGCCTCGTGCTGGACCCAGATCAAATTGTATGCCCCCCCCCGACCCCCACACTCCTTTTTAAAGTGCTGAGTTTTGAACTTAGAGTCTTATACAGGCACTCTGCCACTGACCTGCAGTCCCAGCCTCTGAAGTTACTGTGGCTTGACTTTTTTAAGCAGTTATTTACTTGAGGGCTTTTTCCTGTCTTCTTGCCAAATCCTGAAATATTTTTATAGTGTTTATTTTAATACCTCAAAATTTTCTGAAGTTTTTGTATTTAGGCAGAGTAAATTGATAAAGCAATAGGCTTACTAAATACTTGTTTGAATGAAATGGATTCCAGAGTAATATTTACTCTAAACCCATTTTCTCATAAGTTGCGTTTCTTTTTACTCAACTTCAGAAGTTAATTTACTGGAAAAATATTCTTATTTTTTGCTATTGCTGACATTTGTAAGTGTTTTGAGATATATTAATGTATATTTTGGGCTTTTGAATTTCTCTGAGAGCTGTATATAGAAGTACATGCAAATCAAAGAAGATTTACTGTATTATCCATATTTTTTTCCTTCTGATGTTTTATTTTAAATCTCTGGAAAATATGTTTACTCATTTCAGTATTTCCAGTAATTCACCATTGGACAGTTCTTTCTAAATTAATCTCCTTTCGTACTGTTAAAAACTTCATGTTTGGGCTGGAGAGATGACTCACCAGTTAAAAGCACTTGATGTTCTTTCAGAGGACCTAGGTTTGGTTCTCAACTCACACAGCAGCTTGCAACCTTCTAAAACTCTAGTTCCAGGAAATCCAGTGCCTTCTTCTGGCCTCTGTGGGCACTGCACTCAAGTGGTACACTTACATGCAAGTAGAACATTGTGTGTGTGTGTATGTGTGTGTGTGTGTGTGTGTGTGTGTATTTTATATATATAATAATATATAAATATATAAAATTATATATATATATATATATATATATATATATATATATATATATATTGCTACTTCCTATAGGCCTTCCAATATTTGTTTTATTTTCTGAGACAGGATCTCCCTGTAGCCCCAGCTGGCTTGGAACTAACTATGTAGACCAGGCTGGCCTTGATCTCACAGCACTGGGATTAAAGGCATGTACCACTAACTCCATGGTCCATTGTTATTTTGGAAGAACTAAAACACAGGTTGATGATGTAGTTATATTGCTAGAGTTGACTGTCAACTGAACAATTTAGGGTCGTTTGAGGTGGGCTTGAGGACCACATCTATACCTGCATGCTCTGCCTCACCAAACCTTACTAGTATATACATGTATGCGTGTATGTGTATGTATATATAAAAATCTAATTCTAATTGTTTTGGACCACATCTGCTTCTCCATGTGTCGTCATAGCTGTTTCAAGGCCTGTCTTTTGTTCATTTGTTCATTCCCTCATTCATTCATTCATTCATTCATTCATTAAAAAAATGCTAAGCGTATCTAATATATAGCAAGTACGATACAGCAATAAATGAGATTAAATGGGTCCCAGTTCTTAAGGAACCTGCATATGTAGAACAGCTTTTTGGGTGCTATGGAGTGATAACAAAACCATATGTGTATCTATATAAAAATGTGAATATATATTTTTAAGCCTTGGTGTGCTTCAAATGAGGAAATATTAGTTGTTTGTAAATAACACCTATTAAATCTATTTGAGTAAATTTCTCATATTTATTTCAATCAGTTGTTTCCCCAAAAGACCAATAGAGGTATTTTATGTTATGAAAGCTATAACTATTTGTGAGTTATGAGGAAAACAGCTATTTTTAAACAGTGACTTAATTCTTATTCTTTTGCATTAATGTTGCAGCTATATCAGGACTATAATAGTTTATTACCATACATTTATTTAATAATGAAATTGTCTGTCTCTCCCACTAGACTGTCAGTTCCATGATGGAGGGAACCCATTTGTTTTTCCTCATCATTGTATTCCCAGCACATAATCCAGTTCCTGGCACATAGTAGGTGCTTACTAAATATTTGTTGAATGAATGAATGAATGAATGAATGAACTTGTTTAATTTCCCAGAGCAAGTCCATCTTTCCCATTACACTTATCAGAATGGAAGGCCAACCATAAGAAAATCAGTGTTGTGAAAATTAAACATAATACAGCTTACGGGGCTTGTCCTGAGATCATCCCACTGCTGTTGTTTTGATATTTATATAATCTTGCTGGGATTTTTGAAACTATAAGTTGTCTTTCAGGCACTGCAAGATTCGAGCATATTGAGTATATTTATAGAAAATATACTGTAAATTTAGAAATATTGCAACAAAAGTTTAAAGAAGAGTCCTGATTTGCTGCGTGTGTCATTTACAGAGGGCCAAGTCAGTTGAGGTATTTCATTGGATCTGAAATTGTTGTGTGGAATGCACCCCCCCAAGAAGATTTTAATTAAGAAATAATTATTTGCGTTTTTTGGTCATAAAGCAAAGTTATTTTGAAAACAAAACATGCATATGTGCTAAAGTGATTTTTAACAGGGGAAAATTACAGTGTTACAGGTGGTGGTGATCTAGCATTATTATGTTCACTGTAGTGATTTAGTCACCTCCACTTTTAACTAGGTTCCCAGCTATTCTTATAAAACTTTTTTACTTTTGC